CATTACCGTTCATAAATATAGGAAGGTCTAAACTATTGCGATAACGATTGGCTGAAAAAAAATTGAGTTTTATCTGAATTAAAGTTCACCAGCCACTGTGAGCCCCATAATGTAGCAGAAGTGAGATCTTTTTCAAGCTCAGATGCCCCCTGCAAGCAATCAGAGGGAGTTGGCTTCTTATCGCGACAAGAATAAATGGTAGTATCATCAGCGAACAATGCTACCTTAGATGTGAGAATATCTGGAAGATCGTTAATGTAAATTAAAAAGAGTATAGGGCCAAGGATTGAACTTTGAGGAACCCCTGAGGTTACAGAATAAGAAGAAGAGTGCTGTCCATCAAGGACAACTTTTACACTACGATTGGAAAGGAAGGATTCAATAATCTTAAAGATGTTTCCAGATACACCGTAAGAAGAAAGTTTATAGAGAAGACCAGCATGCCAAACTTTATCAAACGCTTTAGAAATGTCAAGAGCAATAGCCTTAACCTCTCCACCTTTATCTAATGCGCGATAAAACCTATCGGTTATTACTGATAGCAAATCAGCCATAGAACGAGAAGATCGAAATCCCTATTGATGATCAGAAAGTAGGTTATGAGATTCGAGATTCGAGATTAAGTGTTTGTTAATTAAAGATTCAAAAACCTTGCTTATGATAGGAAGAAGACTAATGAGACGGTAGTTCCGCAATTCAGATCGCTCTCTAGAATTTTTAAAAATAGGGATAACAGATGCTGCTTTCCAGCAGGCTGGAAAACAAGACTGGAAGATAAGCACTTGTTAAATAGTTTTGAAAGGATAGATGACAGCTCCGGAGAACACTTCTGCAAGACTATAACAGGTATGCTGTGTGGGCCGCAAGCTGTAGAAGAGTCTAAGCGGGAAATCACTTTAGATACAGAAGCTGGAGTGATACGAATGTCGAGCAATAGATCAACCTGTTTGATGGCTATATCAGGTAGAACGCAACTAGTGGGATCAAGAGATGATATTGATGAAAAGTTCTTGGCAAACAATTCAGCTTTGTCTTTAGGTGAGGTGACAAAGTCTGAACCATACAAAAGAGGTGGAATTGCAGACTTGCCCTTATTATTGATACTATTAAAGATTCTCCAGAAGTCACGAGAGCCTAATTTTTGAGATGCAATACGAGATCTCATGATCTGAGAATAGCGGGCTTTGGCATTAGACAAAATTTTTTTACAATGGTTCTTAGCAGTAATAAACAGACGTCTGTTTTCTAGAGAATTGTTTTGCTGGTAGATATGGAAATAATGGTTTCGATTGGCAATTGCAGCAGCACAATGTGAGGAAAACCATGGAGAAGAGTGAGGCTTGACCTGGAATCGTCGAGAGGGAATAAAGGATTCCATGCCAGCCTGAATCCACGAAGTTATGTAAGAAGCGCATTTGTCAACAGAAAGACGAGAAATTTCTACCCAAGGGCCATCACGAAGAAAATCACAGAAAGAGTCCCAGTCAGCTTTAAGGTAGTTGTAAGATGCTTGATGATAGAGGGGTTCTGATGATAAAGAAGAATGAGATAATAGTTTTAGAGAGACCAAACCATGATCGGAAGCACCTAAGGGTGAGTGTGAAGAAACTGAGCACTGACTAGGATCAGAAACAAGACATAAGTCGAGTAGAGAAGGTAAATGATTCGGGTTGTCTGGAAAGCGAGTTGGAAAGTTGATTATTTGAGTTAGGGATTGAGAAAGACAAAAGTTGTGGGCCTTAATGCCTGCAGAGTCACTGACACTAGAGCTAAGCCATTCAGTGTGAACATTAAAGTCACCGACAACAACAATATTGGCTGATGGATAAAGAGAGAGGGCTTAGTTAATATGATCAGAAATAACATCAAGAAGAGTGCAGTCTTGAGATGAAGGAGAGCGATATAGGACAAAGAGAAAGGTGATAGAGTGAAGTGGTGCTAAACAAAAGCACATAAAAGAGTAATTTGTGGATTTAAACCTAGTTTCCCGACAAATGGGCGAATTCTTACGAATGTAAATGCCTAGGCCAAGCATGTGACTATTGGTGTCTTTACGAATTAAAGGAAGATAACCATCAACACTAAGATCACAAGATGAGACAGCTGAACTTAAATTAGTCTCACAAACAGCAATTAGGTCTGGTGAACTTTGCAAGAGATAAGACTCAACAGAAGAAAAGTCGAAGACCACGAATATTGGTGAATGATAGGTTTAGCAAACTTGTTGATGACTGTGGTTTTTTGTGTTTTATAGTTTTTGTTACTTTATTCATTTTTAAGTTTCTTAAAGAAATTGACTCGAAACATAGTACTCAGTACACTGTTTTATAGCCCAAGCAATTGCCTCATTTCCACTAATAAACCCTAAGTCGTAACAAAGGGCTCCAATGTGGCCTTGGCAATGCACACCAAAAGTAAAAACAGGGACACCATCCATGCGCAACATGGCACTGTTAGTACTCTGATATTTTTCAGCTGTTGATGGAATCAGCCTCTCTGAGAGCTACCACAGAGTTCGGGAAACCTGACTACCAGCCGACCTCAGAACCATAAAACTGAGTTTTAGAGCTGTACCCTCATTTGGAGATAATAGAATGAGTTGTCTAGTCATAAAAACAGAGACAAAAGCAAAACCCATGAATTGAGTCAAGAAGAT